ATAAATATATATATATATATATATATATATATATAAAATTAATATAAAATAATGTGTTTCAAAAGCCACAGAAAGTGTTGATGTGTGCAAGTTCCGACCAAAGAAATGTCTGTAATGATGAAGAGGCCCACACTGAATCAGGTTACAGTAACATTTTTTGATTTTTTTTCTGTAAACATTCTGTATCCGACCCAAAAAACCTGCAGCTCCGGACGCAGGTGAGCGCAATTCGAGTAATCAGGCCTCTCCTTGTATTAGTAGAAGCTGGGACCAAGGAGAGAGGAGAGTAAACAGAGGAGTGCATACTGGCCAAGACGGACGGACCGTATATAAAAGCCTGGCACCGCACAGGAGTGCACATTATTGTAAAGAAAAATAAAGGCTTATTAACTGTCATCTGTGTCAGCGTCTTCGTTTGGGCTTCTTAATAGAAGCCTGAGAAGATGATCAGAGCGTTTAGGAGGCATCGTAGGGCGTTAAATTATGGTCAACTTTCACCAAACTTAAGAGCACAAACTTTACAGCAACGTACTATATAAAGGCAAACAGACAACGGAAATGCTGAGAGAGGCTACGATTCATGAGCCAATCAGCCTGAGCCTGAGCCTCTAGGTAGAAAAGTTACCAGCGATGTTTTTTAGTTTATTTTTTGCTATATGTTTCTGGGGTTTTTTTATAGGTAAGAAAGCAGTTTTTATCATGAAAATAATGAGAATATTGGAAATTAAAAAAGAATTACCCTTAATTTCCACAATATAGCTAAACTCTCGTGAGACATGTATATTTGGAAAGTCAAGAGTCCCAACAACACAAATTACAAAAGTCATTTTCAGGGATGTAAAAATATATGTCATCCACACATACACAGTCTGGTGCTGTACCTGGATGTTGATTCCCTTGACAAGCAGGGTGGGGTTCAGAGGAAGTCTACAGCTGCTGTTGATGGAGAAGAACTGCTTCATTTCATCCAGACTTTCTCTGAGGACAGACTGCAACAGAAGCTTTTAGCGGATGAGATCGGCGAAAAGCAAATCGAAATGACATCATCAACCCATGATTCCTTCCTACCTGTCTGCTGGAAGGCGCCGCGTCCCGGACCTTGTGAGCAACGTTGGTGAGGATGGAGACCAGCCAGCCTTGACGGGCAA